AATCTGTTTTCCCAATGCAGAACTGGAGTAGCAGGCTCGAGTTTGAATGAACTATTAAGAAACGTGGCAGCTTCATTTCCCACACAAAAGCCAATAATACTGTCTGAAAATAGCTGTACTCCCAGGTAAGCCTTTACAGCAAAATTACAATATGCTCTTTTCACCTTGAAAAAGAGGAAAGAGCTTCACCTAATAGAGCACTAGAAAGAACCAAACCGATGAAGGCGGAGAGCAGATTTGTAGAGATGTATATTGGCAAATTGCGCTCTTGCCAGGAAAGTACTTTCCCACAAAAACGGTGAACATTTGCTAACTGTGTTCACAAATACTGCACAGCTGTGCTACAACAGGAAAGCAAGCCCAACACTTCTATAATTTGATAAGAGGTTTCTCTAGTGATTCACCAAAAATAATTAATCAAAATAAAAACATGGCCAAAATTAGCACTGCTAGCTGTTTGTGAGCAAGAACTAAAGCAAACATATCAACTAAAGCAAATAAAAGTCACTGTATAACCAGACACACACACAAGAACTCTGTAGATTTTTCTACCTTGTATTCTGAAGGGATTATATCAAAAGCAGTATTTCTCTACAATAACCATCACTGAAAATAACTTTTCAGTACAGTATTTGATACAAGTCCACGATGATCAGAGGGAAAATCTGTGCAGATGGGATCTTTCTGGCATTTGTAGTGACAACAATGTTTTTCAAACATTATTTCCTCAACCCACAGGTGTTCTTCTGTGTTGTCTGACAACAGCCAAAAGATATCAAACAAAAGCCAGTGATCTTTTTCTGTACATCCACTGAAAACTGCTTATTGCCAGCTAGCAAGATCATTTCTACAATATGCAGAGCAGCCTTTCTATCCATTCTTAGCATCAAGCACTCCAGTGGACACCCTCTTAGGATGGCAAGATCTCCTCGATATAGGGAAGAGGAGCTAAAATTACTCTAAAGCCTCCCAGTAAAATCTTACGCATCTGGAAAGAGCTAATGAGAATATTTCAGAGATCTGGAGTAAACAGTTTCTTCATTGACTTCTATGTATCTAAGATTTTATTCTCCATCTATTTTGTATTGTCTCAGCTTAAACAATGAACATGGCAGGTTCACTTTCAAGAATATCATAGAATCATAGAATCATTGAGGTTGGAAAAGACCTCTAAGATCATCGAGTCCAACCGTCAACCCAACA